AAGGAAGGAAGGAAGGAAGGAAGGGAGGGAGGGAGGGAGGAAGGAAGGAAAACCAAAGATACACATTTAAAAGAAGAAAAATTTAATGAAATTATATTGGATGACCTGAGAGGATATACGCTATTGTTAAAATGAGGTCTGGATGCTATTAAGAAAAAGAAAAAGGAATAAGCAGAGATTATTATTTGGATAAGAAAGCGTCCTTAGAAATTCAAACATGAGAGGCAAAATTATATGTATAAATATAAATATATATGTATATTACATACATATATTTGGAAAATAAGGAAATATCTCAAAACCTTTTAAAAAATAGGAGAGAAAAAGAGATGAAACTAGAAGGCTAATCCAGGAAGCCAACATGGTACCGTAAGGATCCAGAAAGAGAAAAATGTCAAGGGAACTATTACAAGAATATTTTCTGGGCCTGCAGAACACGAGGGTCCAGACTTCAAAAGGCCTGCTGAGCACCCAGCACAATAAATGAGAAAAGACCCGCCACTGCTGTCAAATTCCAGAATGCCAGGAAGACAGTGAACGTTTCAAGGAAGGGGAAAAAACAGGTCACACATAAACCGTCAAGAATGAGAATGGCAGTGAACACTCGACTCCACGCTTTCAAGGTAGAATAGAAACACTCTCTGCCATTTAAGGTCTAGAAAGTATTTGTCTCCCATGCACCTTTTCTCAAGAAGTCTTCTGCAGGACGGCTCCCCCTAAAGCAATGAGGTGACCCAAGAAAGAAGACGTGATTCCCGGGAAACGAGGAGTCAGTACAGGAGGGAGGTGTCGCAAATTCCCCGGACAGGAGTGAGCAGAAGTCCGAGGACAGCAGCGGGCACAGGCAGCGGGGCACACCGGAGACAGAGCTCTGTTTAAACAGACGATACCTCGTTGCTTATCTGGTAGACATGCTTGTGTAGAAAGTTAGAGCTAAGGCTGTGCTGCTTGAGTTTGGGAATGTGGACGCAGAAGCCAGACTGGCTGGGCTCAAATCCTGCCTCTGCCACTTAGGATCCTACACCAGCCAGTCAGCCCCTCTGTGCTTCGTGTCCCCATCTGCAAAACGGGGATCGGATTCCACCTACCTCACAGCGGTATTTAAAAAGTTAAATACATTACTTAGCGTGCTAAAAATGGTGCCTTGGATGCTACAGGCTCTTGAAGGGGCTGGGAAAACTTAACACGTACGGAGAAAACGGAGGACATCTTAAAAAATAAAATAATCGATAGGCTCTAGGAAACAATACCGGAAAAGAAAGGAACCATAATGATCACAGGCTCCTTGGCTCAGAGGTGAACACGCCACTGTCAGATAATGGGAACAGCGAGAACTGGAGTGTAACAAACGGAAGCACAGAGGAAGGGTAAAGGGACGTGAGATAAATCTTTACCA